ACAATTTTACAGTTCTAATGGCCTTCAATATGTTTAGGAGATTTATAGACCTTTGTTGTGCCACTCATGTTAATACTTTAGCATTTAAGATACTAAACAAGTTATTCAACCATTATAAAATCTAAAACTAAGTAATTATTTAGTAAAACATAGTTAATTGTGACTAATAATGTTTTCTCATAATAGTGCTTTTCTATATCATCATACACATTATCCCGAAAGCATTAATTTTCGACTTTACGTTTAGACAATTTCCAAAATTTAATGATTATGTTTTTCGGCTTACTCACGTAATTATTTGACGAGGAACTCGATTAGTTTCAAACCATGCTAAAGGCTCAAAGTCAAGAGCGACATCCCTCGTCAAATAACTTCGTTATAAGCCGATAGATTTTAATTAATTTAGTACCTATGTCTCAAGAAAGTTGTAACATAGATTTCCAAAATACCATATAAAAAGTATACAACCATAAAAATAACAACCACATTTTCCAACCCAGATATTCCTACAACCAAGATACGTACGTAGGTAAAAAATAATTTCATTTCATATTACACACACATAGTACAGAAATTGCACATAACAGAACTAAACGGGGAAAGGTTAAATGTGAGCGGAATGACGTCACGGAAGTCTCGACGTCACTGAAATGCGTTTGTATGTACACGGCTCCACGTCAAGATATAACATCCAGTATAAACTGACCACTGAATGTGTGAAGAGATTGTACAAAGCCAGACCAAGATACATTGGTTTTGTTTAGCTTGATATGTTAGTACAGGTAACAAGGTAATTTATTAAGGTATGTGTACTATTGTAAGTGTGACTGCTAAGTGCAAGGACCAAAAAGGACCAAGTTTGATCATAAAAAAAACACGAAGATGTTGAAATTGAGTCAGAACTAAAATTTTTATTTCGTGGAAAAATATGAAAATTAGGATTTATGAACACCTATACCTTTAAAAATAAAAATAGTCTAGTTTTTAATAGTAATAGGTAATAAATAATTAAGAATAACAATACTAGTAAAACCCTTGCTTAACAAAATAAAGAAAAAATCCCGAAAGATAATAAAATGATGCATTCAACCGCAAGGACCACGTTTACGGAACGAAGGACCAAATACAATAACATCGAGATTTTATATAAACCGCATACATAATTACAAGAATTATTTATCTGATTTATATATCTGTTAGGATGTTTGTTCAGCTCCAGTTGTTATACAAATATTTGTCGCAAGATACTATGACCATCATATCTTGTATAATATTACAAATTGATTGGTTTAGACGCCATTTTTTATCTTCTTCTATCTGCAGGTCGCAGGTTCTTGACTATTTCGTGCTTTTTAACCGTTACTGACCCGGAGGTTTAAAACGCCCGCTTCTCATGCATGAGAGTGCATTCGAAACCTACCAACGGCAAGTACCAATGTGACTTTTTCCGAGTTTTATGTACTTTTTAAGATTATATAGACACCACTGACAAACGGTGAAGGAACACATTGTGAGGAAACCTGGGCTTATAATTTCTAATCATATTGTCCTTGTACAGTACACAAGTTACACCAATATTTCAATTGTTGTCATTGGATGTATCGACTTTATATATAAACAATAAAGTTAAAAATCGAATGAAGAAATTTGACAGAAAAGAGTAGTTTGACCTGCTACCCACTACAATCCCATTCTGGGAGAAGATGCTATGGACATTGGACATAACAATATTATTCTAAAACCCAATAGAGTAGCTATGTATTGCCAAACAAGGAGACAGATAGAGGTAATATAAAATAGAAAACCAATTTTAGGCTATATGCTGCATATAGCATTCCTAACTACATATTACGGATAATTTTGAAATGTGAATATAATTGTTTTCCGAGGATTGAACATATTTTTGAACACAATAAACAAACAAAATTTAAGTGTACTGTAACTGCCAGTCCGCCAAAGTATTTCACAGTGTGTAACGAAAAAAAAATTTAAGAAGAAAATCTGTGTAAAGATTCGTGCGGAACTCGGGTCCCCACTCTCAAATACTTTGTATCAACGGGAGAATGGCGATCAATCAATCAGTTTAGCTTTTGTTGGTCTTCTAAAATAATATGTCACAAGTTTTTAACTTGGATTTGTGGTGACGAAGACGGAGACTCATCAATGACTTTTTTCTGTGATCATTTCCTCTTTGGGGAAATTGGAAATCCCAATTTGGATCGGAGGACCAAATAATACAAACGTATTTGTTACGTAAGGTAAATATCATGTTCTGATTTGTATTGTATTATCCTTGTTCTTTCTTTTAAAACTAATCGACTACACATTGGCGCTGTGGCTGGACTGTTCCGCAACATGTAGCGATTCCCTCACGGAGCAACTTTTTGTGTGATCCACACATTTTTCTTGCACGTACCTAAGTAATATTAAATTGTAGCCAGTCTATGACCCCCATGGAACCAAGATAGTTATTTATGTTCCTGGGAAGTGCCGGACTTCAGCGCTCCGGTGTTTTCATGGTTCTATCTACTGTAGATCCTGGCTTACAGGAGCTGCAGCGGTTTTGGGAAGTTGTGGCGGGCTTATCTCATAAAAAAGTCTCTGATCACACAAATCCAGAATACCCAAATCGTTGTAGTTGCAAACATTTGAATTTGATTAACAAGACAGTTAATGTTAATTTATTTCATCATGAATAACTTCACGTGAATATTTTTAAATAGGCTTAAAAACAAGCAGCTTAAATCTCTCCGTGAAAATAAAGGTTTTAGTTAGAACATTATGAAATAAATGTAAATATATGTGTTTGACGTACATAATAATTATTGCGGTTTGATGCAGCGGATAATCGGCAGCGGCTGCAAAAAGGTTCTGACTGCTTATAAAACAAGAGATTATGTTTGTTTTGTAGGAAATTTGTAAATGGAAAGTTTTTGGGAATTAAATACGAAATTCTGTGTCGTGCTATAACTTATGCAAAAATGTTTATTTCATCAACAAATCAAAATGGGTTCCGGCTATTTTTTTACATAAAGATAAAATCAGTAGATTTTTTCTCAGTTTAAATAGACAATAAGACAATAAAAAGAGAAAAATAGTAACCTAAAAATCTAGTTCTTGAAATTTTATACATTACCTAGATAACTATATAAATACGTAAGTATTCAATCACATAATTAAATACGCTAAATATATTATACTCAAGTACTATTTCCTTTCAACTATTTCAGTAATGGAACTGATTTAGTAATATTTAGACATCAATTTATTTCTACTGAACTATGTAAACTAAATATTTAGCTACACGTTATTTAGTATTAGCTTTTCCTATTACTTGTTAATAATGTTTGATATTATACTTAGTTATAGTATTTACTTTACAATTTGTACACATCAAACACAGGATACCTTTACTAAATAATGTAGGAGTTTAACTGTGGGAGAGCCATGCTTCGGCACCAATAGGCCGGACCGGTGTGATACCATGGCCACACAGAAAACCGACGTGAAACAACGCTTGCGTTGTGTTTCGTCGTGTGAGTGAGGTTACCGGAGACCCAATTATCCCTGAATTCCCAACATTTCTCAAATTCCTAATCCCCAAAAGGCCGGTAACGCATTTGTGACGCCTCTGGTGGTCCGGCTGACCGGGTCTATTACTCTTTCAGTAAAAATATTTACGGTACTTGAAAATCGAATCCAAATTATTAATCGAGGATCCCACTATCCACACAATTTCAAATAAAAAATAAATAGATAAAAAGACAATCGGAAACCAACATTTCAAAATGTAATTTGAACCCTAAAGGCTTAGCAATAAAAACTATAATTATGTTAAGTACGACTATTTATAAGGTTTAAGTATACTTCGTGAAAACGATTCATTTACACGTTGACTCCCAACATGAGGGTTCTACTCTTACTACCGTATTTTATAAGTGAGTGTGTTTTCGAAATTAGAGAAATTCTTGTGTTAGAAAATTACCAAAATACTTATTTAAGTTGTTGCATTTTAGAAACCTAATAAATAATAACTTTCAGTGATTTTCTGGAATAATACTTGTGAAAAATTTTTAATTACTTTGTATTATTTATTATGTAAATAAAAAAAAAATAATTTGTTTTCATTAGGTTGTGCAAGTAAAAGCTACAAATGACGATACAGGATACTAAAATGGTGTTTTCACTATAAAACAATGTCAAATCAGATATCTGTCAAGTTAATTATTTTAAATATAAATCATAATTTAAAAATCAAACAATGACCTCTATATTCAAGTGTCTTAGAGGCAACGGTCTTTAAAGTCTTACGAGTCACTAACGGTATAAAATTTAATATTCCAGGCCTGACTGTAGCAGGACCTTCTTCAACACAGGGTATTACTGCAGTGGATCTAGTGATAAGTGGTCTTAAGGAACAGACATGGACTGATAATGACAAACCATGTATAGAACAAACATTATTCATATTGGACAATGTGAGGAATTATACTGTTTGGGCAGTTTGGGGTAAGTTTTGTTCAATTGTATTTATTAAGGGGACATGATGCACTTCATGTATCGTAGAGGGATGAAGACATGATGGATAAAATAAATAATTGTATGAGGAAAAAAGGTTAAAATGATGACTGAAAAGAGAGAGTTAAAGCTATCAATAAATGAGTATGATCAATAAATTATGGGTCGGATGGGGCCCAATGGAGCTGATGCCGATACGGAGCTACGGGTAACACAAAAGGTTACCGGGGCTCTGGCTCGATGTGCAGGAGCAGCAACGGGTTGGTTTTTATTCAGTAAGAATCTGACACTCTCGCCTCAACCGGGCGGGAGAAGTCGTTCGATGATTTTCTCACCTTAAAAAGAGGGTCAAAAAAGTCAGAAAATTCCTGCAAATACTAAAAACATTATCCTTACAAGAAATGTCTACATCAACACTGGTCAATGAAATAATTTTGTAAGAACTACTCATTCAATTCCTTCTTTTTTCAGTATGGAATTCAATGCACAGTCCCGTTGGTACATTCTATGGATCTGAATACAGCTTGGGTAACTATGATCAATGTTTGAGTGCACCAACAACTACTGCTGATCCTAAAATTGTCACCCAGTACTGTCTAGCTCACATCACACTGACTGAGAAGGAATATGAGAAGAGAGATCATGATGTATTGGGTGCTACTGAACCTTATGTAGCTGTAAGTATTTTTCTTTTTTGTTCTGGCATAGCCGGTAAACGAGCAGACGGATCACCTGATGGTAAGCAATCGGCGTCGCCCATGGACACCTGGAACACCATAAGCGTTACAAGTGCGTTACCGGCCTTTAGGGGATTAGGAGTTTAAGGATTGTTGGGGATTAGGGGATAGGGGAGATTGGGGAAGGGGGAGGGAGCTGGGCCTCCGGTAACCTCACTCACATGACGAAACACAACGCAAGCGTTGCTTCACGTCGGTTTTCTGTGAGGCCGTGGTATCACTCCGCCGACCCGGCCCATTTGTGCCGAAGCATGGCTCTCCCACACTTAACAGTATATGTCTAACATCTATATTGCCCTTTCATAATATTGACAGTCAAAAATCTACTCAAAGCATTACAATAATTAATCAAATCGAAAACCATTTCAAAAGTCTAAAATAACTAAAAATGATAACATTCTATTTAATTATCAATTGATATTCATAATAAAGTACCTAGTCTTGTTGACACAAATACAGTAAGTAAAAGAAAGCAAGGAGAATACGAGACAGCAACAATAAAGTTGTCCTTTTCTAAAATTTTAATTGGTCGACGTTGGCATCAAGAGCATATTGTAGTTCTAATTAATAACCTACTACTTCATTGTAAGGTTTCTATTCTATTGTGAACATTGTTGAGGAGTTTGTTTGAAAATACAAGATATTGTGTATCAGAATCTATTTTATCCCACATGAATCGATAATTGTTATTCGGTCGAAATTTTGAAACATGTCCAGTTTAAGATGATAGGCTACCTTCTTGCACGGGACCTATGACATCATCAACCTGTATCTTTTCTACTGCTGCACAAGCACTTCTTCTGACTAGTAGAAGATATAGTCACTGACATACCTCTTATTTCTTTTCTATTAGGTATGTCCTACACTTATTTTAAACTATTTGCAGACCAGAACTCCTATAGGCCGTAACCTGAGCAAAGTGATATGGGGAACCTGCCTACCTTCCACCTGCAAGTCTGATACCATCTCCAAGATCCTCATGGTTATGTACCAAATCAACCCCTTAACCCCTTCAGTGCCTAGGGTCACTGTGGATATTTGTGAAGCAGCTGATAAGATTACGGAGTATAGTTTTGGATTTTATGCTTTCATGTGAGTTAATTAAGTTGTTTTTACCTTGGCTGTTTTAATGATAGAATATGATTTAACAGATTCTATAAAGAAACTCAATAGAAACATTATGTTTAAGATTTCCCGTTGAAATCCATCCCCTAAATTTGGTCATACAAAAGTAGTCTCTAAACATTGGAAATAAGGTCTATAATGTAATGTAATATTAGTGGAGAGCGGTCACCGGTGACCGCTTGGGGATCTATGGGTTAATGAGTAAGTGAAAAATTTTCCTGTTAAAGAAAAACTATTCGCTTGATATAGAATATTGAATTTTTCCTTGAAGATAAATTTCATAAAAGTCACATTTCACATATAACATTATAATTTACCAACTAATTATTATAAAAGCACATTAGTACTACATTAACTGAAACGGACCGTTTTTTCAGGACATTAATAACACTACTGGTCGCCACTTCAGCTATTTCCACATATTATATTCAGAGCTCGCACACGAAATCGTGTAAGTTTCAGGAGAGTAATTACTTTAATACATACGTTCAGTAATCTATACTAACATAATTATAGAAAATTAGCTTCAGCCAGCGGTTTTACTTGCGTTTCTGTGGGAAAAACGTAGTCTATGTTACTACAGACTATAGTCTACCCTTGTTTCATCCCAATACCTTCAACTATTTTCACGTGAAGGAGTAACCAATAGACATAGAAACTATCTTATTTATTATATTAATAGGATAATACATAATATGGTCGCAGGTACGACTGCCGGGCAAGTGGTCTCGGGTTCGGTTCCGGGATCGGACAAAGTATAAAATGTCCTTGTAGCACGGAGTCTGGAATTGTGTCCGGTATATGGCAATAGGCTCACCCCCTATTACATGGGACTCATAACATAAATAGTCAAAAGTGGGTGTCACATTGTACAGTGGCATTAAGTGCCGTAATGTGCTCCTCTGCCTACCCTCTGCCAGAGGGCCTCTGGGGATAAAAGTCGTGATGTTATGCAATATTTCGTACATTTGAAGAAAACTAAATAATTTTATTAGAAATCTAATCCAGATTATCTGCTATTAGACTTTGCAGCGTTTTCTTGAAGGTAAAACGTAATGCCACAAATGAGAATGGCCTTTTTAATTACGTGTGGATTCGAAGAAATTAATACAATCAATAGTATTGTTTTAATGTTATTACTGTGAAAGTCTATCTGCCAAATTATAACGTTAATAATTTATTTCTTACGAAAACTAATTCAGGCATAGATTAAGATTTGAGGAAGGTTTTTAATTTTTTTTTTTGGAGATTCTATATAAATAGCGATACAGTATATTCTGGTACACCGGGGTGTGTTTTAGTCAGTTAAAGTCTGACAGCCCCTTTCGTCCTCCCCAGACGAGGGGGCTCCATGAGGCTTTCCCACCTTAGGGTCAAAAAAGGGCCAACTTTTACTGCAGCAGTTTCGACTGAAAACCACCATAAACAAACTTATATGTATTTCTAATATATTTCTCCAATTTCAGCTGTCCACACTGTAGCATACGCTTTCTCGATACAACGTAACTGGTCAGCTTTGACAAGAAAAACAAATGACGACATAGGAACACTGAACCTTCTCAAAGTGGGTCTTGTAACGTTATCAGTGGCAACACATACCGCCTTCTTTGAAGTTATGGGACCTATTAGTAATGGACAGCATTTTGATGATGTAAGTAATGATGAAATCAAGGTCAAAGTGAAAATGAGGTTACGTGATAACTTTTGCTTCTCAAAGACAGAAGTACAGATATTGGTATTAAATGTTAAAATAACATTTTGCTAAATATGTTATTAGTTAGTTTGGGAATTCATTAGTGAAGACCACTGTGCAGCAGTAGACGTCTTGTGGCTGACGTATGGTGATGATGATGACGCTAGGAGTTCTATGGTATATGCTTATAAGCACGAACCGATAATTGAAACCAAAGTTCTTAATAAACTTGCCTACCTACAAGAAAATCCAATATTTCAGGTAATGCTAGAAACTAAAAATCCACTCCTAAATAAAGTGAAGCATATAGATCTGTCGGTGGACAACTTCCTCATACTGTCAGGGATGTTCCTCGTTCAGGGTCTGATGGCGAAGAACAAGAAACCATTGGTCGGTCTTGTCAATCGGTATTTTAGGTAAGTTGAAATTAAGTATGCTCTTAAATGGGTGCAAAAGGAGCTGATTTGATGATTTTTTTTTTTCTGTTAGAATTATTGATTAGAAGATTCGGTTTTCATCATCAGCATTTACAGCCTGTTCTTTATCCCCATCTTGTTCTTTCTCGATTTATTCAGAACCTTCCGTATTAGACCTATTGTCTGTATTGTCTATTTTTACCGATTTCAAATTCCAGACTAACCGCTTCATATGCAGTAGTAATATTTTACGTGTCGTCTGTAGCAATATATACTGGAGCTGGGCCTTTATGGCAGAAGTTCGCTGGGAGGGAACAACAGGCTTGTGAGAAGAACTGGTGGCTTAATTTGCTGATGCTGAATAATTATGTCAATTCTGATAATATTGTAAGTATCTTTTGGTCCTAGATTATTCAAGTTTTGATTTCAACGGCTTCAATTTTAGTAAAAGTAGATTTATATATTAACATTAATAAATGAAACCTAATCACGTAATTAATCGAAGTCTCTCGATTAATTTCAAGCCAGGAATGGGATTCAAAATCATGTAGAATGTACGTAACGGTTTACAAATTAGTCGTACTTTAAAATACATTTTATCAAATAATGATAATTCTGTTCGAAACTATGACTAATATGAAAATTAATAAGATTATTTCTATTTCCAGTGCCTCATAGTGAGCTGGTACATCCCATGTGACTATCAACTAGCAGTCATGGGCACCATATTATATTTGCTATATCAGAAGAAAATCTTTGGAAAGAAGACAGCAGTTCTGACAGTACTGGTGGCTGTTTTAATTCCAGGAGTTGTCACTTACTGGAAGGAACTGCCTGGATTTCTTCTGTACCATGATTTAGAGTAAGTTTTGAGGAAACATTTCTATTTTATGTACATGTTTGATAGGCTGCAATAGTGTTGTTTTGATGAAAACGTAGCATTTCTTAGAGATACATACTAGGTTTGTATTTCAAGTTGACTATGATATTATCTAGATTTCTATACGTATACACAAATCAGTAAAATTAGAGATTGGATCATGAGTAGGTCCATCTCATATAGTAGCTATTTTTGACCTTTCTTGACCATTTATATGAATATTTACTAATATGCCAATGTGCCCATTTGTTACTTAAATACACATCATGCTGATTTTATATTCTTTAACATAATAATATTATGCGATTTTCAATTACCTATACATACATACATAGATAACTTCACGCTTGTCTCCCATAGGGGTAGGCAGAGACTATGGAACACCAATTACTACGATTCCTACATACCTCTTTCGCTTCATCAACAGTCATCAATCTTTTCATGCATGCTCGTCGGTTAAAGGTACTTTTAATTTGGCCCTTCTTTAATATATCGCGAATCTGGTCACTAGAAGTCCGTCTTGGGCGCCCTCTACCGACGGCCCCATTCATATCCGCTCTGTATACTTCTTTCGTTACTCTACTTTCATCCATCCTTTCTACATGTCCAAACCAGCGTAACCTATTATTTCTATTACCTATACTAAGTTTAAAAGTATGTTTCTTACAGGGGTATGTTAGATATAAGAAAGAACAAAGTGTACGTGGACACTTACATCAGGAGCCACAACCGAGCCGGCCCTTACTTCGTCGGGATGGCCATGGGATACATTATCACCAAGTACAAACCAAAACATTATAGGAATGTTATTTCTAAGGTATAAGCCAAAACATTTAATTACGATTCTTACCAAGTGAGAACTCCGTGAGAACTTTTCATTTAAACAAAGGTTAACACTGAGTACCTACTAATTTTAAATCAATTTGAAGGTGTTATCTAGAGAAAATCATATCATAACATCACGCCTTTTATCCCCGAAGGGGTAGGCAGAGGTGCACACAGAAGTAACACCCACTTTTGACTATTTATGTTACTAGTCCCATGTAATAGGGGGTGAGCCTATTGCCATATAGGTACCGGGCACATTTCCAGACTCCGTGCTACTACTGAGATTTTTTTAAAAACCCAGTATTACTTTGCCCGGGTTTTTAAATCGATCGATTTAATCGATACGGAGCCGCGGAAGACTTAACGGGTTGCCGGGGCTCCGGCTTGAAGTGCAGGAATAGGAACGGGTGGTTTATAGTCAGTAAGAGTCTGACACTCCCTCCCGCCTCACCCGGGCGGGAGAAGTCATTCGATGATTTTCCGCCCTCAAAAAAAAAATATTACTTTGCCCGACCCAGGAATCGAACCCGAGACCCCTTGCCCGGCAGTCGCACTTGCGACCACTCGGCCATCGAGGCAGTCTACATGTTATGTTATGTTATCTAGAGAAAAGATGTCTGATTTTGTCGACTTTCAAAGAAGTCAATAAAAACGAACACGAAATGTGACGACCCAACAAATTCTTGAAATCAATAATATATCAACATAAACATCTATTTATAAATCTTCGGGATCGCTATTGGCTGAAACTTACGTGTATTTTGTATTGTATGAAATATGTCGTTGGTGATAAATACGCATATAATAAAATCTGTCTAACTTGAATGTTATATTTACTGACATGTTGTAGGTAGGAATACTCTTAGATAGTCTATACGACGAAACTTATGGATATAAAGGTTACGAGGTGTTTTGTAGTTAAAATGAACGAAGTGATACCACGGCTTCACAGAAAACCGATGAGAAACAAGGTTTGTGTTATGTTACGTCATCTGAGTGAGGTTACCGGAGGTGGAATTCGTAATACCCAAAAGGCCGGTAACGCACATGTAACGTCTCTGGCATTCCGAGCGGTGCCGACTGCTTTCCATATGGTTATCCGATCAGTTCGTTTACCGGCTTGTCCCATAAAAAACTTATGAATCTTTTAAACACCATTATCTTCTTGCAAGTAACAAATAAAAAAACCCAATCTTAGTCCTCTTCACCTTTATATAACACTGTCACTTAATAATTAACATTTTTTTCAGAAACTATCCCTCCTACTATTCACATTAGCGTGTATAATAGCCTACATAGTGGCCACCCGCCCGCTATCATACGTCGGCTTGGAGTACAACCACTTTGATTCAGCCCTGTACGCAGTGTACAGCAGGAATCTGTGGGCTATAGCCACCTGCACTACTATCGGAATCATCGAGTATGGAGATGTCGGTGAGATCATTTTTTATTAGAATATAATGATTCTCGGGTAAACTAGTAGTGAGTTTTTTTTTTAATTCTTAGTAGTAGCACGGATTCTGGAATTATGTCCGGTATACAGCAATAGGCTCACCCCTATTACACGGTACTTATAACATAAATAGCGAAAAGTAGGTGCTACATTGTACAGTGACATTAAGTGCCATAATGTGCACCTCTGCATACCGCTTTGGGGATAAAAGGCGTGATTTTATGATATGTTTCTTTGTACTTTGCCTGACTAGGGAATCGAACCCATGTCCAGAAGTAGCTTTTGCCCTCATTGGACGAATTAGAATTGATGATAATTGAAAGAATAGATCGGTCGATATTTTGACAATAGATAATTATCTATATCTAACCAATAGAATTCAGAATGAAGCTAAATATAACTCCAGCTCATTTATAGTTTTACAGAAAGGGCAACCAGTGGGAGTATCTAGAGGTCCAAATACAAAGAACCCATTGTAACCCCTAAAACCAACACTTTAAGGGTAAAAATCCTATCACAATTTCATAGCAAAAAAATTAAATGTAGGTAATGTATACATTTAATTCGTCTTCAATTTATATTTCAATTTGATAGATCGTATTAATTACATTAACTATAATATTATGTTACGTTATTAATAAAATTAATATTTTATTAAATAAACTGAGCTTATAATTCAGTAAACGGTTATAACATGGAGTTTGAATTACCTTTAACTCTACTATCAATAAGCTTCTGACAGCGGTTTACCTGCGTTCCCGTAAAATAAAAAGCCTAGTCTTTATGATATTTCAAACTATAATCTACCCTGTTTTAAATTTCATCCTAATCCCTTCAGCTCTTTTAACGTGGTGGAGTGACAAACATACACACGAACTCACTTACAAACTAAGTCAAGTCAAAGTCAAAATCATTTATTTCAATTAGACCAGAGAGGCACTTTTGAACGTCAACAAATAATTAAAAGTGAAGCTATTTGCTCATTCCAAGGTGTAGATTCCTATGGAGAAGAACGAGCAAGAAACTCCATAGGTTACTCTTTTTCAATCAGGTTCACAATACAATTCTCTAGTTACATAGTTTTGTTGTTTTTATTGTGCAAGAACAATGTAACACTAAGCATTATTTATCAAGTTAATGTAATTTCATAATACTATTATCTAAGTAACAATGTTTCAATTAATATTTCAGCCAATCTACGTGGCATCGCGAACTGGCACGGGTTTGCAGTGCTCAGCCGACTGGCATATGGAGTCTACCTGACCCATTCCATCATTCTGCAGCAGAATCTATACTCTAGGAGAAATATCCAGCAGTTTGACTTGATATACTCTGAGGTAAGAGTGTATACCTATTAATACTAAATGAATAACGGCTTACTCAATTGAACTACATTAGAAAAAGACCTGAGCTGAACCGAATGGGGACAGAAAAGTACTACCGCTTCTCTTCCCATGGGTATTGTACGACAGAGATCGAGCAGCAGCTTTATGATGAGCGATCAACCGCGATCGCCAACCCGTTTGTTAAGGGTGGTGATTACAGCAATGTGGGCGCTTATAGTCCAGAAATATCTACAGGGCAGTGACGATAGTAATATTAGCACAGATGGTCTTAAATGTCTGTAAATCGTTGGGATAGGCCTATGTAAGCCGTGGACGTCTTGTAGTTGATTACAATTGATAATGATGATGGTACTAAGATGGTGCGGCAACCGGCTGCCGCGCAACGTGTCACGAGGTCGATTCCCGTATGGGCCGCATGGAGCAATACTTTGTGTGATCCACAGATTGTTGTTTCGGGTCTGGGTGTCATGTGTATGTGAATTTGTATGTTTGTCAACGCACCCACGACACAGGAGAAGATTTCATAGAGTGGGTTAACGTTAAAAAATATGTTATTATGTTTTCTTTCCAGGGTCTCCATGGTTTCGGTATCCTGGTGATATCGGCGGTGTTCTCCCTCCTCCTGTGGCTATTCGTGGAAGCCCCATTGAATAACATAGTCAACCTGTTTACCAATTCTGGGTAAGGCTTCTATTATGGTGTAAAATTTACTTAGTACCGAGTTCAAGCAAATATCAACTCTCTTCCTGGTTGAAATTAAAGTTGAATCTTGAATAACTTATCATGTCATGGTTCTCTGGTTTATTATATTCGTAAAGGTTATTTTTAGAAACCTTTTTGATATCTCAATTTGATTTAATATAAGTTTATTTGAATCCCGGGTCTGACATAGTATTGTTATGTTTTCCAATGTTTGTCATAAAAATTCTCAATATTATATACCTAGAGATAAATAAAAAAAAACACTATAAAAAATAAACAATATTTATACTCGCCATTTAAACCTTAATTCCCTAAAACCTAACATAAACCAATTCCTTGAATTCCCTTCGTGTTTGGGATAAAAATAAAATTTCCTAATAATAAGGAGAGGTCCTAAATTTGAGGTCGTCGTGCCTAATGTTCGGCAGCCGATATTAGGACCCTCAATCCCTCGTCTTATCAATAACCCAAACAACTTAAATAAGTATCGATTGTATAGTTAACTAAGATGTGTGCTAAGTTCGATTCCGCAAATATTTAAATTAAACGTAATACACGTCGTTCATGTTATTCCCCCTTGAAGACTAGTTAGTTAAATGTAAAGCGACACGGTTATGGGTTCGATTTCCGGGTTGGATATTAGTTCGTAATTTTAGAAATTATTTCTTTAGTGGAAATAAAATAATATAATTAATGCTATCAGGTTAATTTATAAAAATTAACTTTTCACTTCTTTATTTAAATGTCATCGATAAATGTTTAATCTAAATATTTAATGTCAAGAGAAGAAACTTACGTAACCCAGAAATCGAACCAAGATCATTGATTATAATTTCTACCTATATACCTACTAAAAATAACGTTTTTATTTACAGATCCAAGAAGCACATTACCATTCAAAGAACCGAAGAGAATGGTGACGCAAATTCTAAAATATCTGACAAAATAAAATAAAAGACTAAACTAAACAATCTTCTATGTTATTTATAGACCTTTAGTAATAAGAACTTTACTTTTCCTTAATCAACACTGCTTTTTTTGTTTTTTTTTTAAGGGGGGAAAATCATCGAATGACTGCTCCCGCCTGGGTGAGGCGGAAGGGAGTGTCAGACTCTTACTGACTAAAAACCACCCCGTTCCTTCTCCTGGACGTCGAGCCGGAGCCCCGGTTACCCGTTAGGTTCTCCGCGACTCCGAATCGGCATCGGCCCTATTGGGCCCCATCTGTGGTGGTCTGATGGCTCTTTGAGGCGCGCGCGGAACGCGACGCGCCGTACGCTCGGGTCTGTTTCTGGTCGGACGGGGAGCCACCCATGCTCGCCGTCCGCAGGCCCGCGCTTACGGTGGCCGGAGATCGTCTCGCGATCCCCGACGCCCGGTGTGTCCTTCGCGATGGCTGGGTTGCGAGGAGGCAGCGCTTCGCTGCCTCACGCGTCCCGCCTCCTCCTTAGCTAGCATGACTGCTTCGCAAAAGGAGGAGACGGCATCCCAATCCCCCTCGTTTCGCATCATGGCCTGCACTAGGCCCGGACGCGAGAGGTCAATCAACACTGCTTAGGTTATTATAATATAATCACATGCATAAAACCATAAACAGAAATGACAAACTCCGTAATACAGCCGAGTAAAATACATACTTTATAAATAATATACATACTGTATTTGCACTCAACCAACATATTAAGGAAGTGATCTTAATCTATGGCCAATGTTGGTCATACTGGACAAACTTTGTGGCCAATTACTAACCAACTAGTATAAAGGTCATTTTCATTACCATATTATGTATTAAGTCATTTTATGATCTAAAAACTAACATAGACCAATTATATATTTAACAATTTATAACGAATGCATGTAATGTCACACCTTTAAAGGTTATATAGACACAGTAATACCCACTTATCCGTCCAGTAGTACGGTGTAATAAGATAGCAAAGTGTAGCGGGGTCGATTTCCGTACGGAGCAACTCTTTGTGTGATCCACAAATTATTGTTCCGAGTCTGGGTGTCATGTGTATGTGATCTTGTATGTTTGTAAACGCACCTATGACACAGGAGAAAATTCTAATATGAGTAATGTTTTTATAATAAATAACTCTTATTGTCATATTATACCATTTCAAACTCCATGCTAGTTAGTAACCTAAGCACCTTGCACCTTTTAGAAAAGTTTCTTACAAACCAATCTATGTATATATAAGATAAAATAATTTCATAAAAAAAAGTTACACAATATTTTAGTCATTCAAAAATCAACTATAACAGTGAACGTACAAAGCGGATATTTGTTTACCGTGTACATACATAATGTATGATAATTTGCATAACGTCGTCTGCATTACGTTTAGATATTTGTTTTAACAAATTATTTTTATATTTGCCATATACACTCAAACATATCTACTTAATAGTGGCCAAACGTCGGCTCGTGAAATATAAAAAACGACGCACGATTTTTTTTTATTTTATTATGTTTTTGTTCATTACTTTGCAAAGCTGCAATGGATAGAGTCGTAAATGAATTAGGGTTTAAAAATAGGATTTATCCTCTATTATTTGGAACTCATAACATGACTGCTGAAAAAAAAAACAAATAAAAAACCTAATTTACTTTGATTGAGTACTTACCACTTCACAGGAATAAATAATAATTCCAGCTATTATCAAGCATTCCCTTGATTAAATATTATTTATTGAATATTAAGCCTACCAAAATGAGGCAAAAGTATTCTCCATTTAAAACAAAAATTCGTATAAATAAACAGAATCGTCAACTCGTTCTTAACCGATTCCAAGGACCTTGAACCTTAAGGCGAGCATTAAAGATTTCTTGCCTTAAAACTGTCTAGCGAGTCCAAAGTATCTATCGAAAATCTAACAAATTTCGTTCCTGACTTCAAAAAGATGATAAATCCGGTCAATATAAACCCTTAAAATAGAAATAAACATAACATAACATCACGCCTTTTTATCCCCGAAGGGGTAGGCAGAGGTGCACATTATACCACTGTACAATGTAACACCCACTTTTCACTATTTATGTTATGAGTCCCATGTAATAGGGGGTGAGCCTATTGCCATATACCGGGCACAATTCCAGACAAAAATAGAAATATTATGCGTTTTAAATTTATTTGTAGAAGCTCTTGACCCTTTCAGTAGCAAACTTTCCATTATTCACATAAAACTAAACTGATATAATAGTAATTCATATAATAATACATTAAAAATGTTGCCGTAACTTAAAACTGGGCATAAAAATTAAAATTGTATCTTGTTTATTCAAAAATACACATAACATCACGCCTTTTATCTCCGAAGGGGTAGGCAGAGGTGCACACAGAAGTAACGCCCAATTTTCACTATTTATGTTATGATTCCCATGTAACCTAGACTCTGTGCTACTACTGAGAATTTTTTATAAAAACCCAGTAATACTTTGCCCAACTCGGGAATCGAACCCAAGACCCATACCGGCAGTCGCACTTGAGACCACTCGGCCATCGAGGCAAGCAGAGGCCTAAAATAATTTGAGAAAATACACAGTATGATGTTTTCAATGGTTTTTAGATCATAATGTTAAACAGTTAACCTATAGAATTGACCGGTCGGTTTATAAGTCATAGATGAACTAATAAATATTTCAATTCCAATTTAAAAGCGAGCTAGTTCACACATTTAGTAGGTTAACATTAAATTAATATTTAGTAGTTTTAGTGACAAAATGAAGGCGTACGTAGTGCCATGGTTTATAGTGGTCATTGGTTATATTTGTGAGTATTTTTTTTGTATTATTTTATTTGTTATTTTTTTACTTTTTAATTAGACTGTACAATTTTTTTTGTGTGATTATAAACGACAAAACTAGTTTGTTGTTGCTTTTATACAATTGAAGTCTTTAATGCATTGTTTTGAATTATTTGAAAGATGATAGTCAAATAATCAATTTACTTTTATTAATTATGTCACAATTAGTTTTTAAAATAACTAAACAATGATTTTTGATGACTAATCATCAAAAAAATCATTTTTTTTTTTTGTTAAAATATTTATATAGAACAATATGTCCTGATTTGTATTACTTTAACATACTTATAGTTTGTAATCTTATACTATTATATAATTGTTTGCTTGTTTGAACGCACTAATCTCCATAACTACAAGTCTGATTTGAATAATTCTTTTTGTGTTGGATAGCGCATTTATCGAGGAAGGTTGTAGGCTATAAAACATCATGCTAAGACCAATAGGAGCTGAGCAGAGCGTGTGAAACCGCGCGGAAGCAGCTAGTAACTTTACATAAACCATTAGTCTTAGCACGTGTACTTATAAGATTATCTAGTAATTTTCTATAGAAACTTCGATCATAATGACGTTAATACAATAGAGCATATAAATTACAATTATACCTTATATTATTTACACTATCGATGCAAATCTGTGGTTAAATAATTATTCTAGTCGTTTGGGTTTTCCATATACGACATATATAAATACATACTTATAGATAGGTGTAAGGATACACACATGTATAAGTGTGTACTTACAATGGGTACTTATGAATTGAAGAGTTTTTACTCGGAAATGAAAATGATGTGTTTTGCCTTCTAGAGTTTCTTGCTTGTTCTTCTCCATAGGAATCTATAACCTTGGAATGAGCAAATAACTTCACTTTAATTTTTTTTTGTTGACTTTCAAAAGTGCCTTTCTGGTCTAATTGAAATAAATGATTTTCACTTTGACTATGACTTCAATATGTCTGTTGTCGAGGTCAGTTATTGACTGTTTAATAATTTTAGTAGTACAGCAATGCTTTAGTTGATTATTTTCACTAAATGAGTTGTTTGATTCCATTTGTAGGACAGTAAAAAAATCCCAGTGTCTATGTTTTTAAAAAATATATACAATGGGGTAGACGACTAATTTTTATTTTAATGTCCGTCTGATAGATTATTTAAAAACATTAGACACGTATTTTTTATTTTCTCACAGAAACGAATAGTTTCGAAGATATATTGATTTGAAATGTCGCGTGACGTCACTTCTCAGTACATGTTATACTAAGGAATGACGTTTTAGCCCCCACTCCTAAACTTTGATTCGTTTTATCTAAGTATTGTTTTATTATACGACAAAATAAAAAAATACGTGTCTAATATTTTTTCATTACCTAACTTACGGACTAATTATATTTTTAATTTTCATACCCTGTCATCATCCCCATTTGTGTTGTGTTACTTTGTTTTAAGAAATAGGCTAATTACTAAAATATAACATTTATAAAAAAATGTTCCACAAAACTAAGAATTCCTGGAACAATTTCCAATTATGTTGACAAATGAGTTCATTAGCTTTACAATTTTTATCATTTGATTTACAAAAATAAAATAAGGTTTTTGTTATTAAGAAAAAAACTTTTGTTGCAAAGATTTTGTTCGTGGAGTTTTCATTCCTAAAAGTAGATAATATAATAACATTATCCAATGAAATACTTTCTTATTCTAACACTGAAATAGAAATACCTACTTAAATAATTAAAAATGCTTTTTCAGGTTTTACAAGAGCAGAATATACTAGTAATAAACTAAAAACAGAAGTAGATTTAGTTATAAATGGCCTAGAACATTTAGACTGGTCTGAACAAGAGAAGCTTTGTCTAGACCAAACGCTACGAGTCCTGAATGGAGTTAAGAATTATACTGTTTGGGCTGTTTGGAGTAAGTAAAGTTATTGCTATTTTTTTACAAAAACAGGATGGACCGACAAGTTAAAATATTAATTAGTACCTTTTCTATAATTACAACAGAAGCAATAGAAGTCAAGAAGAACGAAAATAGTGTTATCGCTTTTGGAAATGATGAAATTGAAAATGCCGTTAATGATTTGTCTAATCCAAATATCGAACCAGAGATAGAGTTTGACAGACTTACAATCACTTAATCTGTCGCTTGTCAACCTTATCAACAACAAGAAATTCGCAATTAAATTTACTATCTTACAATCATCGGTTAAATTTTTGTCTTTCAGTATGGAACTCCATGCACCACCCAGCGGGTAGTTTCTACGGTTCCAGATATAGTTTGGGCAACTACGACCAATGTTTAAAAGCTCCTTCTAATTTTGGTGACCCCAAAATTGAGACACAATACTGTCTCACTGACATCAAGTTAACTGATAAAGAAGATCAGAAGTATGGAAGTGCTAATGAACATGATAAAACTGAAGAGTTTTTGAGTGTAAGTAAACTTAACGTTAAAAAGGATAAAGTTCCTAGAATAGAAGTTTCTAACTAGTACATAAATAACTTTGAAAATGGCCGCATCTAATAATTTATCACTTTTATTAGTGTTTTTGTTATGAGAAGTTTTAAACATAATATTAATATTAGATATATAAATTGATGATAGTATACATTATTTATTTTATACTCCTTATCCAGTAAATTTACATTCTTCGGCAACGTCTTTTACAACTTTGTAATCGAGAGACAATTAATATTAGACAACAACTTATTCAATTACTTGTAATCTTTCATTATCTATAATAACTGAAATGTTACCTTCCAGGTCAAATCCAAAGAAGGCAGGAAAGCCGACACTATATCCTGGGGAGTCTGCCTACCAGCAGTGTGTAGCCATCAGTCTGTCTCCAAGATCCTCAAAGCCATCTACCTGGTGAACCCCATCACTTCCTTAGATCCTCAGATCTCAGTGGACTATTGTGATAAGGCTGGAGAAAAGCCAGTGTACAGCTTAAGGTTTTATATATTTATGTAAGTTATTTTTAATGCTAATTTACTATAGTTTTTTTTTTATATTTAAGTCTATTATAGAAGATGTTACGTCAACTGAACAATTACCTCACTAATACTTTAACAATAAGTAAACAAGCAAGCTGAGCAAAGTCTCTTCTCACATGGGTTTTAAGCATTAATCACCACGCTTGCTCAATGCGGGATGGCGATTTGAAACTTATATTTCGAAATTATAAGCCCTGGTTGTCCCATGGTTTTCTTCACCGTTTGTCAGTGATGTCTCAATCATTTTAGAAAGTAAATATAACTCGAAAACGTCACACTGGTACTTGTCGTTGGTAGGCTTCGAAACCCTGCCACCACGACAACAAGCAAGTTACTCATTACTTTTATTATACAATCTACATCATCACTTTAATTAGAGTTGTTATTACTTTAAAGTCTCAACTAATTACTTATTCCTACCAACAAATATATTGTCCGCATTCCTAATAGCTTTAAGAATCACGTCAAAATCTAAATTACTAATTATTGTGACTACTCTTTCCAGATTCACAATCACTAGCCTAATTATCACCACGATTGCATCATCACTGTACCTCGAGTACAACAACACAGATTCCACACGTGAGTTCCACCATTTCATACAAATTATGCCCACAACTATATTTGTCGTGGGCCTGTGTGATTATTGTACAAATAATTACTTTACGTACACCACGCCGTATGAATATTGATGATTCATTGATTTCCTTATTTTTTAATATAACAATGAAGGTAGATTTAAAATAGTTCGACGCTGGTTAAGCAATGATTAACACGTGAATAATGATTTGACTCAAATCCACAACGTGCCTAGAACAGTTTTGTTTAAGTTACCCCACACTAGGATTTTCTCCTGTGTCGTGGGTGCGTTAACAAATATACAAGTTCACACACACAATGACACCCAGACCGGAAACAACTATTTGTGGAATCCACAAAGAGCTGCTCCGTGCGGAAATTGAACCCGCTACACATTGCGCGGCAGCCAGTTGTTCAGCCACCGCGTCAACCGTGCAGTAGACTTACAAAAAACCGATAGTTTAAATATTAGGACAATCGTAGTAATATTTTCAATCGGTAAAAAACTGTAACAAATGTGATGGCAGCTTAAATTTACCACAACGCTTGAAACAAAATCTAGTTTGACCACTATAAACCTGATTTTGTACGCTACGTTTGTAATCAACAATTTAGTGATTAAGGGCATGATATCCTAAAATACTATTTTCCAGTAAGAAGAATAGCTTACTCCTTCAGTCTCAGGAGGAACTGGTCATCGTTTGTCAAGATCACTGATGATGAGATCCCTGTCCTCAGTTTTACAAAGGCCTTAGTGTTGTCGCTCACAACTTGTATTCACGTCTTCGTGTTTATTGTCGCTGGGTCTATTAGCAATGGACATGATTATGATGGTGTAAGTTGATTTGTTTGTTTTCTTAAGTAATATAGGTGTGTTGTTGTTAAGTAGTATGGTTTTTTAGGTCGATTCGTAGATAATTAACAGGAGGTTCTTAGTTCATTTGTATTATTTTTGGGACCCAAATTGGTTCCTAGAGTAATCCTTCTACATAAGACACACATTTCTGTTTAATTCAACGTAAGCTCATGTATTTTTAATTTCTATATAATCTGTTATTCTCGTTGACATATTAAAACTTTTCTTACAGTGTCACTTTTTTTCTTTTATTCCAGTTAATAAGTGTGAAAGACAATATTTTCGGGAACACCATCCAGCATTTAGATCTACCATCTGTGGAGAATTTCTTCGTCATATCTGGATTTCTTCTTATGAAAGGTCTTATGGAGAAGAAACGGAATCCTGTCATCACTTTAGTCCAACGATATATTAGGTGCGGTGTCTTTTACGAATATTTTTTTTCCTACGTCTGGTATTGCCATTTCTGATCGCAGATCAATTTTAACATTTCTCTTTTCCAGATTAATAGGATCTTTCTCAGTTCTATTATTCTATACTCTGGCGGTATCAGAGTATACTGGCGATGGACCGCTATGGAAGAGAATTATTGGTAGAGAGCAGAAGGCATGTGAAAAGTCCTGGCTCGTTGGACTTCTGATGCTTGGTAACTACGTGGATAGTGATAATATTGTAAGTTTAAATACATACAAAATTACATTTTATTATTTTAAATCTTCCTAACATTTACATAAGGATCATTACTGATTACGTTGCGTGACTGTTTTGTTGAGAAGCTAGAAACATTTATTGACTCTTTTGAATGCTGCATATTTAATGATCTTGTAACTATGACGTAATAATTATGACTTATAGCATTTTAGTTAAGAATTTTTTTTATTTTATTGATTTTTACTATTAGAAATTATCCTTTTACTAATATGATTTCAGTGCCAACAAGTATCCTGGTACATACCAGCAGATTATCACTTGGCAGTGATGGGCACTGCCCTCTTCTGCCTCTGGCAATGGAACAGACAGATTGGCAAGATCACCACCATCATAGCTGTTATTTACTCCATGGTGATTACTGGTATCACCACTTATAACAAAAGATTGCCTGGCATACTGTTGTATGATGTCGAGTAAGTAACTTTTGTGTAATTTTTACCTTTTTTCATCTGTCTAATGTAGTTCTAATCCACGTAGTTTTTAAATATATGTTATTACGTATTATTATCTTCCGAAAGCTCATGTATTCTCATATTTTAAACCTTTTAATAAAAGAGGTATAATGATTCTTTGAAACATGAAACTCTAGGTTCACGGTAGCTTCATGTTAATTAGCTATTAAGCAAAACATAAACAGAATTAACAATTTCAATAGAAGCAAGCCTTAAATTAAATGTATGGGAATTCCGCCATGATACGAACATTGGCTTAAAAATCGAATTACATGGATTGATGTTTCCATTAAATTTCAGCTTTAATAGAATCTCAAATCATATTAGAGTATATGCATCGAAATATTTTTTCAATATACGTACTACATACAATCAGATTGTCTGCTTCTGGGGAAATCATGAAAATATTTTACGATCTCTGAAAAAAAATTGTTTATTTTTTCACAATGGTATCGGTTCGTGTTCGTTTATTCAGATTTTCAATGTAATAAAATGTAACTCCTCTTATGAACGGGATCAATTTGCTTTCTTTATTTTACTGCATACGATGTGCTGAATATTTTAAAGCTTCGACTGTATTACTTACAGTATATTTTTCATTGCTGAACATTCTTTGATGTTGACCTTTTGATGTATGACATCAGATCGAAATATTTTACTCGGTTTTTTTATATTACTGGAAACTGAGGATGATATAATTTTAAAGACATTTTTTGTTCATATTTTTTCATACTTCAAACCAGGTTCAAGTCTACAATCGATTACTAAGAATTTAGCTATGACAGAAAGCCAATAAAACTTTGCGATTGGGAATTGAATTTCTTGCGAACGAAACTATAAACTAAAACAACCGTGTATGTATGTATGTAAGTCAAATATATTTTCTTTGGAAACTCATTTCAATCATTTTCGTAGGAAAGTGATCCATGTGAGGGACAATGTCGTGTATACTGATACGTATATGAAGAGCCACCATAGAGCTGGGTCCTACTTCCTTGGCATGGCTATGGGGTACATCATCACTGTGTATAGGCCTACTAAATATAGAGGAGTTATTTCCAAGGTGAGTGCAGAACTATATTAATGGATACGATAAGTGATGTATTTATGAAACTGGTTTTATGTACCCAGGTCTAGCAGAAAGGTTGTCAGTGTCACGAAATAATAGTTAGGAATTATGCGATGCCGTAGCGCGTATAACAATATATTATTTAATATTACTGTCTCGCTAGAAAAATGACACTAAAATAAAAAATAAACCGTTAAGAGTACTTATAACTTTATCTAATATATTTTTATACAAGTGGTAACTAGCAATCTTAAGGCAATATATCTAAGTTTCTATCTTTTTTCCAGGAATGTTCGTACTTAGGTCTCGCGGCAGCTTTTATGTTAGGTCTGAAAGTACTATCGTCGGCCCCGGCATGGTGCCTTGGGGAATACAACGCTTGGAGCTCGGCAATCTATGCGGCACTCAACAGAAACTTATGGGCTTTGGCAACATGTGTTTGTATCGGAATTACTGAGTACGGGGATGTCCGTAAGTACAATTTTATTTATTTTTATATAGATAAATCAGTGGTTTAGCCTATCAAACGCCTTTGCTAATTCGGAAAAACGTACACAATCTTACGCGAGCTAAATGAACAGCTAAATTCTAAGTTGACGTAATAGCGTTATATTGGTGTAACAAATATCATTCAATAACTATTTCTATATTAGTTCTAATAATAGAGTTGGCAAGTTGTGCTGAAACGTTAATAGTTACAAAGTAAATGATCAATTTTGCTTCAATAATTACAATATCCGTCTACAATAGCTTCTGAATATTGGAGGAAATTAAACCAACCAGATGTACTATTATTGGAAGACAGATTTTAGGAGTAAAAGCTGTCAAAACTAAAGCAAAAGAAGTAATGGCGAACGAACCACTCTACAGACAAAACTATGAAAGATTATGTATTACTTATAATATCTCTAGATAAATGCTGACAAATAAAAAGTGACTCATTTTAAAGTAAACCGAAAGTAAGCCAATAATATTTTGCCTGGCTTAAGAATCAAACTTGAAACCCCTTGCTCAGTAGCGGCGACCACTCGACAAACGAGATAATTCAAATTGAAATAAGTTTCAATATTATCCGAAAATCTCTTAACGTGAATCATATAAATCTTTTGTACAAATTATCGAGTATTTTATATGCTCTTATAAAGTAAAATTCACATGAAAAACAACCCAGGCAACAATAAATAGACACGAGTAGCAGAAATAAGCTCTTAAATTAATATTACGACAGAATTTTCATAATAAGTTACGTGGTCCTCGATTCAATTTAATCTACATGTTAAAATCGATACAGTCGATTTAAATAATGAAACGTGAGAGCCATTAACAATTACGAAAATATAAAACACATTGTAGGAGAAATATATTACGTTTCAACTTACTCTCTCTGAGAAAATCTTATAGAACAATACAGTATATAGTATACAGTAAAACAAAACAATACAACACAGTACTATAAAATTATTTACAGCGCAAAATACAAACGATAACAAAAAATAAATCTTTAAAAGTCATATTGAAAGAACCAACACAAAAATTAATGTAAGCGCAGTACAGACATATATTTCTTTTAGATTTCTAACTGTAATACCATTAGCGTAAGCAAGATAAATAAATATACATAGTATAAAAAAACTAGCTTCTGTTAATAGCTTCGTCCAGGTTCCCGTGCAATAAAAAGTAGCCTATGCGTTATTATAGACCGTAATCTACCCCTATTCCACGTTTCATCCCGATTCCTTCAGTCGTTCTGACGTGATTGAGTAACAAACATACAAACACACATACAAACATACACACAGACACACAAACTTACGCATTTATAATATTGGTAAGATAATAAAAATGATTACAAATCTTTATACGCATTGAAATATGAAAATAGGAACCAGGAAATGAGTGGATAACCTTCCTTTTAATCCCTTTCAACTAAATGTACCCGTGTTCTGATGCTTGGGGCATGTTCAACATGGTTCCCTTTTTTTTCTAATTTCCCGGGAGGACCCTTAGTTTTCCTCCGTCAAAATACCGGTATTATATTTTCATTTCTGTTCCAAGATACGTCCGTAACAGTTTCATCAAATTCCACTCTGTCTTGTTCTGATGAAATATTCTTAGGTATCTTTTAGCAACGTACTTTAGCATTTTTTGCTGTTCCAAGTCCTATATTTTATTTGTCCTTGGGTAGAGTTACGATGTGAGCTTGTAATGTTATCGCTTTTTTGGAAAATTGTTTGTGGAAATGTTAAATGAATTGTTAGTAGGACAATACATGACAGATTGAGTGCTATCAAACGTTGTTATGATGCGGAAAGGAGGCGAATCGATTTGGTTTGAACGTTATCTTCAACACAAGATTTTGAATATTTTTTTCTGTCTACCAGAATAAACACATCACGTCCGAATTCATTAATACACTTGCACAGTTCTTCTATTTGATGTTGTTTTAAGTATGAAGTTTAAACGTCTTACATTTGAATACTACTCAATTTTAGAGTAGCACTTAAGTATAGTTCTGTTTCTACAATTTTTTTATAGAAGATAGAGATGGCACGATATTTAAGTACAAGTTAAAATTGAGTAGCCTTTCAGTATTCGATAGTCAGTGACCTAAAGTTTCATTGTTATATTTTTAGATTAGTCAGACGAAACAGTGAACTCTTCTAGTTTTATTTCATCAAGTAATTTTTGATGCTTTATACACGATTTTTACTTTTTTTTAAAATAAACGTTGCCCGACACTAGGATTTTTTCCTGTATCGTGGGTACGTTTACAAACATACAAGTTCACATACACATGAGACCCAGACCCGGAACAACAATTTGTGGATCACACGGCAGCCAGTTGCCCAGCCACCGCACCAACCGTGCAGTCAAATTAATTATTTAAAAACCACTGACTCAAGTTATAATATGTCATGCTACGAATATTGTCAATTTCTTGTTAAATAATAAAATCATATCGAAATTCAGCCCAAATACCTACGTAGGTACAATAAATATGAACAAATGATGGAGGAGCAATATGATCAGTTATTGCGAACAATCGAACATAGTATTGTAACATTTGTTTGGAAATTGAGAGTAGTATTTCTAGGCTACACTGAGCCGTAATAAATGAAAATTCCATAGCTATGTTTTGGATGAAATTCGTAGTAGTTGCTCATAATATCTTTTTGGGCTATATAACATCGAAAATATATAACACTAGCTACGTCTGCGCAGTTTCACACGCTCTGCTTAGCTCCTATTGGTCGTAGCGTTAAATCAGTAATAATTAATTAATTTATAATCATGAGTAAATTATTAATTGTCATTTCAGAAATCCTTCGCAAGTTCATGGCTTGGCCCGGCTTCACAATCTTCAGTCGTCTAGCATACGGGGTCTATATAACCCATTCACTTATCCTTGAAAGGTTCCTGTTCTCACAACGAAATCCCATGCATTATGACATGTTTAACTTGGTACGTATACATTAACTAGCTTCTGCCAGCGGCTTGCATCGTGTTCCCGTGGGAGAAAAAGTAAATTATGTGTTACTACCGACTATAATCTACCCAAATCTCATGCCGATCCCTTCAGCCATTTTGACATGAAGGAGTACATACATACATACATACATAACATCACGCCTTTTTATCCCCGAAGGGGTAGACAGAGGTGCACATTACGACACTTCATGCCACTATACAATGTAACACCCACTTTTCATATTATGTTATGAGTCTCATGTAATAGGGGGTGAGCTTATTGCCATATACCGGGCACAATTCCAGACTCCGTGCTACTACTGAGATTTTAAAAATAAAACTAAGAAATACTTTGTCCGACCCGGGAATCGAACCCGAGACCTTGCCTGGCAGTCACATAGTACATACATACATACACACATAATCATAAACTTTCCCATTTACATAATTATAATATTAAGTAAGATAGTAAGATATTATACTTCAAATCAATCTTGAACCTTACCTACCTACACCACAGAACATAATATTATTAGTATTACAAACTTCCTAATTGATTTCCAGATACTAATCGGAATAGGAGTGCTCGTAATATCGGCAGCACTCGCTGTACTGCTCTGGCTGTTTATCGAGTCGCCTTTAAGCAACTTGGCTAATCTCGTTCTAATCCCTACGTGAGTATCATAATATACAGTCTATATGTAACACTATTAATGATATATAATGATGTACTTATCAGTGATCTCATCTAATTGTGTTGTTTGTTATGTATCGATTGTGTATTCTATGCTTAATAGGGCAAAGTAAGGTTTGTGTGTAAATAAAATAAAACTGTATTGTGTTGGATCCCAACTTGTTATTAAGAGGTTTTAGAAGTATGTCTACGTTCGTGTCGAAGTCAAAAGCATTTATTTCTATTAGACCAGGAAGGCACTTTTGAACATAACATAACATCACGCCTTTTATCCCCGAAGGAGTAGGCAGAGGTACACATTACGGCACGCCACTGTACAATGTAACACCCACTTTTTACTATTTATGTTATGAGTCCCATGTAATAGAGGGTGAGCCTATTGCCATATACCAGGCACATTTCCAGACTCCGTGCTACTACTGAGATTTTTAAAAACCCAGTAATACTTTGCCCGACCCGGGAATCGAACCCGAGACCTCTTGCCCGGCAATCGGACTTGCGACCACTCGGCCACTGAGGCAGGCACTTTTGAACGTCAAACAAAAACATGTTAAAAGTGTCAGTTTGTCTGATAGTTCTCTAGGGAATCTCATTCCATATATGTATATAAAACAAAAACAATATATTATCCAGTTTTTGTTGGTCATTTAAATGAGTCACATGGAGGTAGTATGAGATAGGGGTGGGTGAGCCTATTGCTATAATTATACAATATCAGGTGATTTGTCTGTTCGTTTGCCTCCTATACCACAAATGTACTTTCCGACCCTGGAGTGGCACCCAGGACTGAGACCCCTTGCTTACTAGGCACACTTAATGAATGAGTTAGTTGAAATATTATTGAAACGCACAATATAGTTTAGCTTCCGAGCAAAAGTGTATTGAAGAATAAAAACAAGAACAGCATCAATACATAATACAATAAAATATCGAAAGGCGAGCAAATACACACAATACAATACAATACAATGATTTTATTTGAACTTTAAACAAACTGTTTCTTACCTTTACAGAAAGAAAGCATCGAATGGAATTGAAAATGTAAAGGAAATCAACGGACAGAGTAAAATTACAGAGATGAAGACAAAAACATTGTGATACCAAGTCTCTGATCTTGTTAATGAAGCAGCTTGCTCTCTATTTAAATCTTGTCGACATATAAATAATGTATGTTTAATTGTAACAAATTATTTAGATTTTAATTAGTTTTCTGTTGTTTTGTTGTGATATAATTAGTTTAGGAATTGAGGTGTAGTTATTAATATTACCTTTTAGAATGAATGATAAATAAATGTATTACAAAAAAATAAACGCCTGAATTAAATACGTTAGCAACCAATATCTGTTGTGCAAATTTAATCACAATGTTGACAGGCGTTACTGATAAATAGTAAACTATTTTATTTAATCGAATGTTATTTTAAATACACTTTAACTATAACATTCCAAAATTAAAATTACACTCTCATAACCTTGGTGAACCAATCACAATTTCCATCTAAATTGTTCAACATTAAATTGAATATACTTTAAGTTCAGATTTTGTATCAAAATAAGGAAGTGACGCAACATGGTGGTAACTTTACTAATCCCGTAGTAAATAACATTGTTAACAAACGATCGAATAACTAACCAGCTGTACATAACACAACTGCTGCGGAAACTTTTAAGCCTTAACAATCCTAATTTGTGTGGCTTCAGTTGGTATAGCTGTGTGTATCACACTTACCAATTAATTAAAGATTTATTAGGATACTTGTCTTTATTTATACACACATATGACATACATACATAACTTTACAGCTGTCTTCCCCATAGAAGTTATATAGACTCCGCTATACCATAGGGTTTGGCAGATTCTATGGAACGCCAATTGCTACAAGTCTTACATAGGTACCTCTTTCGCTTCAACAACAGTCATCAATCTTTTCATTTATGTATTTTTATAATAGAACTCTAGAATGTCTATGAAACGCCAATTGATACGATTCTTACATACCTCTTTCGCTTTATCAAACAGTCATCATTCTTTTCATGTATTTATAATATGTATAAAAATAATGCTGTGAGTATTGAATTCGCTTTAGATTCACCATCATCAGCCGAATACCCATTGCTGAATCAAGGTGTCCATGTACTCCTTTGAAGGTTGTTTCCCGTAATATCCAGGCTTTATAGGCACTTTTAAGATGTGGAGCCGAGGCAATAAGATATACAGATACAAACTTAGAAATTTGATTTAGAAAAAGTATGTTCGATGAACTAATGTTTTACTAATTAATATTTTCTATCAACGTATCTTAGGGCAGAATTCTTATATGAGATTTAATTAAAGAATTACTTGTACACTCATTCAAACTGATCAATCCCCAAGCAGTTACCGGTGACCGCTTTCTACTAACTCGATTATAGATATTATGCCTGATGGTTACAGATTATTTTTGAATGAACAAAATTTGGTGATTTTCATTAGGATATAGGTATCAAGTGAACCAAGTTTTTTGAAACCTAGTTTCATCCCAATCTTTCCAAAAACAATATGTACACACAACCTCCTACCGCAGACGCAATATAAATTGAATACTCCACCATATTTATTTCGTTGCCATGGCAACGCCTTCTTCCTTGTATCAACTAGAAAGCTAATTTTCTACATACATATAAGACATACATACATATAATCTATGCCGAGTAAAGCCAGAATAGAACAATGCAAGTCCAAGCAGCCAGCCCTAAGTCCATCAGAGGATTCTTTTCGACTGTTGATAAATACAATCAGGACTGTGTGTATGTATGTACGAAGCCTGACAAAGGTTTACATAGAATTCAATTGAAACTGATTCAATTCCAGTTTGTTATTGGATTTAAAGGTAGCTAGGATATTAATCCGGTCACGAATGTTCAGATTACTTGAATTCAATACGAGTTTTATTGATGTTGTCGTATCTCTTTGATGGTATTTTGTTTTTGTGGGGAAGGGAATCAAGATGGGGGGTATTTGGGATTAATAAATATATTAGGAAGTCTCATAAGTGATTTTTATGTGGTTAGACGCAGACAAACTGACCATAGACACCCACAAAAATCAGACCACCACAGATGGGGCCCAGCAGGGCCGATGCCGATTCGGAGTCGCGGAGAACCTAACGAGTAACCGGGGCTCCGGCTCGATGTGGAGGAGAAGGAACGGGGTGGTTTTTAGTCAGTAAGAGTCTGACACTCCCTCCCGCCTCACCCAGGCGGGGAAGTCATTCGATGATTTTTCCCCACTTAAAAAAAAGACACCGACAATACCAGAGATGAATTGTACAAAGGTATTTAAGTAGGATATTTGCGCATTCATGAGTTCATTCCCATCTGATGGACTTAGTCCTCGCCTATAGCAAGCAAGTCAAACAGCTCGATCTTCAGCTCTCTTTATCCAATCACTAAGTAGCAGCCTTACATCGGATATCGTCACATCACCTAACTGGAGGGTGCCCTACCACTACATTGACGTACCTAGCTATTGCAACAGGTAATAAAAAATATAATTAGCCTCAAAATGCCGAACGATCGCTAGCATGTCTGTTAAAATAGGTTTAGATATAAATAAAAAAATGCGTTTTGGAATCTTGCGTAACTATACGGATTCCGGAATTGAAATTTTATTAGGTGTTATAGGTTTATTAGAATACTGTATTATACTATAATACTCTGCCTAACCCTTCAATAAACATTGAATGATATTGAAAAACATATGACTATCAGATCCCAATATCACATCAGTATCAAACACTCCATCCATTATCTGATTACATTACGAAAACAAAACAAATAGTAGAAGAATCCACAATTACTTTCTTAAACAACGCCCACTATCTCTTGTAAAACAATTTAACTTAAGGCTTAAGTTAGGGTGCTTACATAAAGAAACAAGTTGCCGGTATAGGATCGCCGGTGCCGTTTGGTACCAGATTACGACTTGCATATAAAAACGACCAAACGTTTATTTACGAAACAGAAATAATATCTACTCATTACGTTATGTAGTACCTAATGGCGTGGCGGAGTAGAATACATTTTTACCACCGCTCCTCTTTCCGCGGGTGTGGTAGACCCGAATTACAGACAGAGACCGGGTATCAAGTGCTCTTTAAGTTTAACTTATATTGCAATTTCCAAAATACCTACAAGTTTGGAGGTCATTGCATCCTATTGAAAGGAATCTTACCTCTATAACCCAGCAGTACTATCACGAACTACTAATGATTATAATGACTACAGGTTAATACCACATTCTCAGTTAGACCCATAATCAAATATTTTTAACTTTTAACTATTTATAAAGACTTCTTATAAGTGATAAGTACCATAACACGATGGCAAACAAAAATTGAAACCTGTATCAACCAGAACCAGCTGTACAGTATCTACCGGCAATATCATACCGACCGTATCGTACAGGCCGCTTCGAATCGGCAACCTGATTCCTTATGTAAGCGCCCTACGTGTCTCTAGAACGGTAAAGGAATATATGATAGCTTCATAGATTACTTTGTAGTATTAACTAGTTCTGAAATTATACTATGAATTGATATGCTGATAGGGACTAAGATTGTAGATTTGTAGTTTATCGGCTTATTTGGGTGTAGTATTAAGTGTGTTGATTAGTTTAATGTGTGATTTGGGTGCTGATTTTATGCCCTTAGGATATTCTAGTGTTTGTTCAAAGGATGTTCTTGTGAGTATTAATTTCATTATGACTCTTATTATTATAACTTTTGAAGGAGTAAGCAGAGATGTAGTTTTATAAGTACAATATTATAATATTACTCGATTAAGCTAGTGAATTTTACACTACATCGCATTATGTAGTTCGGAGAAAAAGAAACCAAAATGTTTCTGTAAAGCTTTGTTACCCAAACCAGGAATCGAACTCAAGACTACTAAGACTACTTAAGATTTATTATAACGATGACACAAAAGATGTATGTCAAGATCCTGTTTTTGGCATTCTATTGTCTCAGCTTACAACAATAAAAGACGAGCGTGAAGATAAGTATGTATGTGTGTATGTATTTTAATATTGATTATAGCATTGCACTAATGACTAAATCAGCTATTTTGTATTTAAGCCGTATCTAAGCCTTAAGGTTCTATCTTCGAACATTAATGAGCTTTCCCTAAAGGACGCCGATAGACAACGCGTTTGTTTAGCAGATTGGATTACATTAGGCACAATTAGGATCCCTGTAGATTTCGAGTTTCATTTGTAGGAATTATTTTCATTAGGCGTTTACCATACAATTACAGATTAAGTGTTACAACTTACTGAAATTTACTAAAAAAGATCACTGGCATTTTGCAAGATTTGGGAATCGAACTAAAGAATGATTGGCAAGAATTCAGTTAAAGAGGAAAGATTTGTACCTATTTTTGTATGTTTGTAATGAATAAGCTCAAAAGTACTGGGCCGATTAAAAAAATTCTTTCACCAATAGAATGCTACATTCTTCTAATTTGACATAGGATACATTTCATTTTGAAAAAAATTAGGGATCCTTGGTAAAATTTGACCAATGTAACCGAAGGTGTAGAAAAATGAGTCTTGAAATGTCTTTCGTCGAATGCGCTGCCGAAACTATTAACGATAGAACAAAATAATGTACAACAATATTGAAGAACATTATAATGTCTACAAAAAACTCCGCGGTAGCATATGTCCAACTATTGTAGTTATGTCACTGCAACAATCCAAATTTCCAAAAATAAATAATTGTCTACCCCGTGCAAAGCCGGGACGGCCTGCTAGTCTTTCATAAAATCAAAAAATAGCAACATATACATAAAAAAAATACAAGCCACCTGAAAATTGCACTTCAAATTAAATTTTCAGTAACAACAACCTATTCTAATTCCTGAAACATCATCAATACTCGGAACAACGTCCCACGTAAATCCTGAATTGGCTGAAACAAATGATGTCAAGACAAAGGAGGCTGTATTTGTCACGTCACGATACAGTAGCTGTGACGTCACGTCTCAGGAATATTCAGGCTACGTTAATTAACGTTCATGAAGACACAGGATAATTAACTAGATAGGCTCTTACGGAT